AGATATACCCACTGACCCACTATCCGACCGACCATTGTATTGGTGGGACTAGCTACATATACAGCCGCAGTCGATTCTTCGACTTCCAGTACACACACTTCAACAACATTCTTTTATCTCAAGGGGCAACAACCACCATAAATTCTTTTCATTCGGCAAATGGCCATGCTCACCAACGTTCATTCGTTTTCAATTGGCCAGTTCCGGTCACCACTTGATTTGTCGACACACTTCCTGAATGATCGATCACCAATGGTTACTCTATACGACTTCTTGTCTTTCAGCCTGGGGAATGTCGGTTGCATGACATATAGTAATGAAGTATGGATCATTTCCAGCATGCACACGACTATCGAGCGCTTGAACGCTTCTTCCGGTTCATGGCAAATGTGGCTTCATCACTCCTACGGGTTTCACCTACGGCAGAAGAGCTACTCTCAATCGCTTTTGATCACCAATCAATCCAGAGATCATGCTTTTAAAGAAACGGTGTGCCTAAGTCAGGGCATACCGTTTGTCCATCTCAGGGAATGTTTATCATTTCTTCGAGTTGTAGTCTTCAAGCTTCAGTTAATGATCAACCATTATTTTTTTTATACCGTGACCACCGCACCAGTGGCCAACTTAACTGAGATAAAGCCATTTTCTCTATCCAGTACATCACAAAGATTAAATCATTTTAAGCACACTTTGCTTCCGCGCGTAGTTACGCGATGCGCCAGAGTCAATCAATACTCTGAACAGACAAATGTTACCCTTCAATCTCGCTGTTAGCACGAGGATACCACTTTGACTCGTGTTATCGACAAAGCATAGCGATCTTTCATGGGCTAAAATGTTATGAGCGATTCTACCACAACACTCACAGGGTTGATAACTGTCCCAGTCAACCACCCTACCTCTACTGGGTACCCGCCGATTTATGCGAACGAGGAGAAAAGGTGAAGTGACATTGATTATGGCCAACATGTCTTAAGCCTTCCTTCAACTGATAACTGCCTTCAATCTTAATATAAAAGAATTGAGGGATATACAACTATGCAAAATATATAGTTAATGTTTACCACACAGAGGTGTATGTAGTTCACACAACATGTGTAATGACATTGATCTCTATTCCAGAAGAGTCACCTTTAAGTGTTATCATAGCGGCAATCTCGCAATCCCAGACAAAAGTAGCGGCAGACAAACAGTTAGTTGTTTTATGGAAGACCCATTGTTTTCATCCAAACAAACTTCTCATAGAAAATGGGACAATAAACCAATAATTGGTCTTTCATGACTTTTTAGCCGAAATAGACGGCAACATAGCGCTTTTCTTTTCATTCATTAACCTACCAGTTTTGAATGACAATTTTGTTCTTATTATTCGATCTCTCTCTCAGAAGTTTGCCATTATCTGACGCAAAAGGCAAAGTCATCTTTACGCTGTAAAGTAAAGTTGATGCGAATTTAAGTTAGATGCTGCCATGATTGAAATTTTGTCCGATGGATGAGAGGTGAAGTGACATTTATTGTGATAGCCAATACGCGTTTAGCCTTCCTAACCTGATACGTCCCTCCAGTTCTGATACATCAGAACTGAGAGGAGATATACATATAAAGCGTACAATTAATGTTAAACACATAAAATAAGTGGTTCACACAGCATGTACAATGGCGTTTGGTACGTACTCCGTCCTATAAAGACTTCACAGCAGTGTTAACCGAGCTCCAAACTTAAAGCGACAAACTCCTTTGAATTTTGTTGAAGAAAAAAAGTATATCATGTTCCTGTGTCTTTCTTGCCGTAATCTTCCCATATCTGCTGTAACGATGTTGGTTCTAATTTGTGAAACATTAATAGAACAATGGGACGGAGGGACTTGTTAGGTATACACATTATACTCTCCCCCTCTACAAGACAAGAATCGGCTCAGCACATTAGAAATCCGTTACAATATAGACAGCTTCTGCAATCTTCTTATTAATTGGTAAAGGCGTAGTTTGTCACTATAATGACCATATTATGCTTTTAAACGCCATTCTTGTGGTTGTGCCATAGTACATTGCAAAAGGCAAGGCAGAAAAATCGACTTGATACGACGCACGAGGAGCGATAAGTCCCACATGCCTAAAGGAGCAAATATTTCCTGAGCTCACAAAACAAAGGTCCAAAACTGTACTGAAATTTGAATGTTTTTGCTGTCTCGATAGAAATAGATCGTCTCAATAGAAATAGATCGCAGCAAAGCTCTCAAGAAACGTCATACTCTTTCGCATTTGGTAGGTTTTGTCATTTCACATAGTGACGACGCTGCGACTTAGGTGAAGATGGTTACCTGATGTGAACTTGATCGGACTGCATTTTATCGATTTTATATTAAAATTTTGATTGATTTGTTGAAGGATAACGACCGATTTGCAGATACATAAAAAAGTTGAGCAACAAGTTTGGGATGTGAAAAAATACCAGCCAATGATTATAAAACATTCGAAACGAATAAATAATCTCGTGCAGCATACTTACAATTTTTGAGGCTTCAGCTATTTCACCAAGCAAAAGCGTTCATTTGGTTTTTACAACTTCGTTCTAGTCTGGGGTTTGACCGCTCTTATCGTTTCTAAGTCTGCCACAGTAAATGCAGCGGCAGTATCAACTCATCATGTGAGAACGCACACATCAAAAATAACAAATCAAAACCGTGACTTCGTCGAGGAGAGGGCGGGGACTACCCAGGTTGATGAATTTCTCCAACGCGCCATCACAGCGATTGCAAATCCAACGCTAATGAAGGCGATCACCTCAATCCCGCTCTTGCCGAAATTGACATCGTCGAATATGGCAATGAACTTAGCGGAGAACTTTCTTAAATCTACTAAGGTCAACGAGGAAAGTATTGCCACTCTTTTCACTTTGCTCAGCATCGAAGCCACGAACTTGAAGCTATTTAGTAGCCAGGAGTTTCGCAGGCTCATTGAAGCCGTCGAGAAAGTCTTTGGACAGCATAATGCAGAAGTCGATAAGGCAATTTTCGATGTACTCTCGACTCGTTTGTCTACGAAGGCACTAATCCAACAGCTTTGTGAAGTCGATGAAGCGTCACAGGCTATCCGACTGCGGTTAAAGGCGCTCTTGATTCACAAGATATTGGACGGTACGTCGGATATTGATAAGCTTCATTTGTAAGCTCAGTCGAAATCTGATGCCGAAAACAAGCAAACTATCTCACTACTACTTGACATTGCTAGACTTAAAGGTGTACTACAAATACGCTAGTTTTTTGTGGTATAGCAAGAATGGTATATGGCGTAGGGAATTGCGTTACAGTCGACGTATAAGCTTTACAATTAATATCGTTATGGCAAACTTATTGTTTTAATGATAATTCTTACAAGTAAAAGGTAGATATAAACCTGAAGTTCTGAGAATTATTAAAATGATGCTATTTTGCAATTAGTTATTTTGGTTACACAACATGAAATATTACTTCTGCAACATGACTTGCTGTATTGCGGTTTGAGTGAAGTACAAGCTTAAGTATCAGTTTATCTAGAAATGTTTTTAATAGGAGGTTCAAATGAATAACTATTCGAAAGTGCTTAAATGGCGACAGCTTTGTCGAGACTAAGAAGATCAGTATCATTGTTCTCCGTAACCAAGCAGAAGTATGCTCACTTTATTATTGAAACTATTGAAAGATTAATTTGGTACAAATAACTGCAGTACGTTTGTATCTTTTCAATACTTCGAGATAAGGACATTGTAGTCGTTTTATTTAAATATTGTGTCGTGTCACTTCATGTGTAACGGGGTTAGACGAACCCTGATAA